ATTGGGTGAAAATGTGGATTTGTCTGAGTCGTTTATGGCTACGCTAGTTGAGGGTGAACCCTCCTGTTCAGTGTCATCCGATGAGTGTGAAAATGTATTAAAATGCATCAATGAGTTTGATCTATTTCCTGCTGACACAGACCTAAGTTTAAATGTGACCCGAGAAATGTTGACTGAAGCCCAGATGAGTGATCCGTCTCTAACTTCGTGTCTGTCCTCTGTTGTAGCCGCCGAGGAAGACAGCAAACCAGTTCGTTTTTTTTTTTGGACAACGGTGTCTTGATGAGACGGTGGAGTCCCGACTCCAGTAAGATGTGCGCTGTAAATCAGGTGGTTGTGCCAACCGACTACCGAGCGCAAATTTTGAGTCTGGCACATGACTCCAGCTTAGCTGGCCACCTGGGTCTTAAAAAGACGTACCATCGTGTGTTGCGCAATTTCTTTTGGCCCGGATTAAAAACTGACGTTGCGAAGTATTGCCGCACCTGTCACACATGTCAAGTTGTGGGAAAGCCCAACCAACCTGTTCCGCCGGCTCCTCTGCATCCGATCCCGGTGCTTGGTGAGCCGTTTGAACGAGTGTTGATAGATTGTGTGGGGCCATTACCCAGAACTAAATCTGGACATCAGTATATTCTAACGGTGATGTGCGCCGCGACGAGGTATCCTGAAGCTATTCCCCTGCGCACTCTCAGAGCAAAACCAGTCGTGAAAGCTCTCACTAAATTCTTTCTTAATGTTTGGCTTGCCTAAAACTGTCCAGAGTGACCAGGGCACGAATTTCATGTCCAAACTGTTCGCACAAGTAATGAGAGCGCTAAAAGTTAAACATGTAACATCAAGTCCTTACCACCCGGAGTCTCAAGGCGCACTTGAGAGGTTCCACCAAACCCTAAAATCTATGTTGCGTAAGTATTGTCTTGAGTCTAACCGAGAGTGGGATGAAGGTCTCCCCCTCCTGTTATTTGCCATGCGTGAAACTCCTCAGGAGTCTTTGGGGTTCAGTCCTTGTGATTTGGTCTTTGGCCATACTGTCCGCGGTCCCCTTCGGCTACTTAAAGAAAAGTGGTTAGCAGAGTCGCCAAAAACTGAACATAAGATGCTAGATTATGTCAGTTCCTTTCGTGAGCGTCTCAATTATGTGTGTCAGTTAGCCCGTGACAACTTGTCACAAAGTCAAGCTAAAATGAAGGGTCGTTATGACAAAAAGTCTGTCCTCCGTATCTTCCAACCAGGTGACAAGGTTTTGGTGCTTCTTCCGTTGCCGGGATCCAGTTTGCATGCTCGGTTTTCGGGTCCGTACACGGTGGAGAGGAAAATTAGTGACACCGACTACATTGTTCAAACTCCAGATCGGAAAAGAAAATCTAGAGTGTGCCATATTAACATGTTATTTTCTAGAGTGAGTGAATCCCCGCTGTCTCTTGCTGCACCCGTGATGTCCGTGTCCGCTACTCCTCCTCAGTACCACCTAGCTGATGATGGGTTGGCAGAAAAGTGGTTTGATGCCGGCCTCGCGTTTGAGAAATTCAGAGGTACTGAGTAACTTGGAGGGTTTTTTGGCCCATCTGTCTGACTCCGCTCTTGCAGATGTTAGGGATTTGATAGAGGATAACCTGTTGCTTTTCTCTGACCATCCTAGACAAACGTCTGTCCTGTTCCATGACATTGACGTGGAGGGTCACAAACCCATTAAGCAACATGCGTATCGCTTAAATCCGGCCAAAAGGGGCTATGATGCAGCAGGAGGTGAGCTATCTGGTTGAGCATGGATTAGCTGTTCCCAGTACTAGTGCGTGGAGCTCACCCTGTGTCTTGGTTCCGAAACCCGACCACACTCCTCGTTTCTGTAACGATTACCGAAAAGTAAATTCAGTCACAAAACCTGATTCCTTTCCGCTTCCCAGAATGGAAGATTGCATAGATCGTGTAGGCTCCACTAAATATGTGACAAAGCTGGACCTGTTAAAAGGTTACTGGCAGGTACCGTTAACGCCACGGGCCTCAGAAATTTCAGCTTTCGTCACAACCGCTACTTTCCTCCAGTACACTGTTATGCCATTCGGGCTGCGTAATGCACCCGCTACTTTCCAACGGTTGATGCGTATCGTGTCATCTGGTGTAGAAAATTGCGAGGCGTACTTAGATGATGTCGTTGCTTACTCCTCCACCTGGGCCAACCACCTCCACACATTGTCCCTCATTTTCAGTCGTCTCCGTGAGGCCTCACTCACCCTCGCAAAATGTGAATTTGGTAGGGCCACTGTTACCTATTTAGGTAAACAGGTAGGTCAGGGGCAGGTGCGTCCTTTGGCTGGAAAAGTGCAGGCGATTATTGATTTCCAGGTCCCACCGTCCAAGAAAGCGTTGCGCCGTTTCCTTGGAACGTGTGGGTATTATTGGGGTTTTTGTCGAAACTTTTCGGACGTTGTTGCTCCGCCTGTCAAGCTGCCTTCGAGTCGGCCAAGGCATTACTGTGCAATGCACCAGTTCTCGCGGCGCCCTGTTTTACGCGACCCTTTAAGTTCGAGGTTGACGCCAGTGCGTGTGGCGCAGGGGCTGTCCTCTTGCAGGAGGACAGTCAGTCCATTGATCATCCCGTGTCTTACTTCTCAAAAAAGTTTAATAAGCACCAGCTTAATTACAGTACCATTGAGAAGGAAGCTCTTTCGCTATTGTTAGCCTTACAATATTTCGAAGTTTACCTTGGATCTAGTTCACAGCCTGTCTCAGTATTCACAGATCATAACCCATTGATATTTCTGGCTCACATGCAAAACTCTAACCAGCGGCTGATGCGCTGGTCTCTCCTTCTGCAGGATTTTAACCTGCAGATCCGCCACAAAAAGGGTACGGAGAACGTAACCGCAGACGCCTTATCTAGGTGCTCAGCTTTATAGGAAGTAAACCTTTTAGGGGAAGGTTTACTTCTCGGGTGTGGGGTGTTATGACTGGGGTCATATGTCTAGTGTTTTAGGGTTTCCTTTGTGTCTTTCTGGTTTCCCTTTATTCAAACAGGGATGTGCCACAACCAGGCGTGGATTGGTGGACGGTCTCCTACCTGTCCTGTGATTGGCTGCAGCCTGCACATAAGGGAAGCAAAGATGGCGTCCGAGGCAGAGCAGGCCAGAACACCACCCTCGTCGTCCTCCTCTTCCAACCAGCCACTTGTGTCATACTGTGAAGGCTAATAAGTATGCCGTTTTTCTTTTGAGTTGGTTTTCTCTTGTTTTAAAGTAGATAGGTAGGTAAGACTGATGTCATTATTTTTCTCCTTTGTTTTGGTAGGTCAGCGTCTTATTTTTTAGCTAGGATCGATTTTTGGTTTGTTTGTTATATTGGGGATGGGCAACGGCGAAGCCGTGGTTTGTTTTTACCCCAACATACCTGGTTTACCCAACCTAGCTCTTTTTTTAAATGAATATCCCCTATATAAACGCAAAGTGTGTGTGGCTACTTGGGAGACGGGGAAGATTGGGGCCTATCCATGTTGCACCTTAGGCACCCCTAGACTGGGGCGTAACAAAAGGTGCTCAAGTATACCGGTGCCACCTGCGGAGACTGTGGAGTGAGAACACATTTTTCCACTTGACTGGCAAATAGTGCGTCTCAAAGACAACGTGGCTAAAACAATGGTTGTGAAAACCAAAGACACGGTATGTAATATGTTTCACCTGAACAACCGCAGGGAAATCTGACTAATGACAATCACAGCGCCAGCAGCAAATGATTTATGTGATCGGTGCGGATCTGAGATCATCCCAAATGATGGAACTTTAAGTACTTTAGATATTCATGGCATGGTGGAGGTCATCACTGATATATATTATATCATTACCCTTGTTTGATGGCCATATTTACACTGTCTACCAGATGTGTTTGACTCCAGGAGTGCCAGCTGTTTTCCCGTCAGTTGCAGACAAGTGGAGAAATATTTCATCTCTTATACAGACGCCGCAGGTTGTCACCTTGGCATCGAGCCAGACGGCCATGATGAGAGAAACCACTCTGATTTAAAGGGGCTGATATAATTCGTTGCAGGTTAAGAGTACTAGATCCCATTTTTGATATCGTAAAACAAATTAAGTGTTAAAAAAAAAAAAAAGTTAACCTTAAAGTCTGAAAGATAACTAATGGTTTAACAGGAAAATAAGACCTATGGGATGAGGAGGTCTTTTCAGGTCATATCTGACTAATCTGGGTCAAGATTACACCATAATTGAGCAAGAATACGAGGAGTCTGCTTTAGGATCATGTTCCCATAAAAAAGTTGCACAAGCCACAGGTTTTCTAATTATATCATTGTGAGGATGACACAATTTGATTATAGCACTGTGTATATGACGCATCAAGCCCATCACTGGTGAATTTACCCAGACTTTCACTAAAAAAATGTTAGACCGCAACCATTCATGATTAATCTGCCAACAGGTTGGGAGAATAACATCCTATGCGTCAGCTTGGCAGAAAATATGGACGATACCAACCAGTAGTGTCAAGAACTGTACACCTGAAATTAAAACCTTCATGCATCGAGGTTATTACAAATTATAACACACAGCTATATGAAAAGAATCAGGGAATTCAGGTAGTTGTATATAATAAAAAAATATATCTAACTCCATTACTATTTATACATCACAGGACTATTGACCATCTTTGCATCCCCTGCTGGTTGGTTGTTGAAGCTCAGTCACTTATTTAAAGGCGAAGCCCGATTCAATCAAATCTCTAAGAGTGACCCGGTGTCTGGTAAATCAGTTTGGTCCCAGAGCTGTTGAAATTGAGAGATTCAGCATTTTAAATGTTTGTCAGATTCTTGGTGTCCAGAATGTGACGAGTCATACTTAGTACTGTTGAAACAACTGCATACTTCAGTTTGTCTGCATTCAAGAGACTATGATTTAATGCATCCGTGATTAGATTATTATTCTGCAGCAATTGCAAATTAATTAAAGCCCCAGCCAGAGGCAGCCAGACAATCCAATGAAACGTTCAAATCAAGAGTACATAAGATTTTATTAGCCATAGCCTTTGACAGAAAAACATCTAGTTCCTCTTTAACCACATTGACCGACAACAGTGCTGACAAAAATCTAAAAATCAATTTTTTCATTGTTCCGTCTTTCAAGGAAATGCTATGTCTAAAATGACCATTTTTCAGTCCTGGCGTCCACAGACTTGATCAAGCCCTTTCCCAGGATCCTAAAGTCCTCCAGTATGGCCTCGACGTTGGGAATGGTATTCGCTTGCTCCCCATTCACCTCCACTTTCCGCGCAGACATCTGCGACGTCTTCCATGAAGGGAAACAGAAAACATGACGTCAGACAAACCAATCAAGCCCTTGACATTGACAATCTCCTTTCCTACATTCATGATTTTGGATAGAGGACATAGCCTTGGTCTTACCTTGAAGCCTATTGGGACGAAGGCCTTTGGCTTCCATAAAACTGCGATCACTGTTCCGCCATGAGGGTCGCAGAAGAAAAGGGCTAGGTCGCCAAAAGCATCCTGAAAATGATTTAGATCAGTTAATGCTCACTTACGGTACTCCAAACCGTGTGCTCTTTCTCTAGGTGCCGAGACCAATTGTATAAACTGTTGGGTAACTAATATGAGAATGAAGTCATAATAGTTAAAGACAAATTCTACGGACGCTATAAAACTAAGTAAAACAATCTGATCAGGCATAAATATCACCATTGTGTGAGTTATTAACTCCAGCACAAACTTGTTTTAATCTGTTCCTTTCTAGTTTGCTCAAATATTGGCAGCTACCATTCTGTCCTCCCCAAGTACAAGGAAAGAATATGTTCCTGCTGTGCATTTACAAACCGTTGAAATCTTTCTAGGAAAAACATATTGTGGACAGTGCAGTTCTTGGAAATTGATCCTTTCCGGAAGCTGAGACAAATGCTCGGCTGAATGCTGGGCGGAGCAGCGGGATTTGCACACGCAGTCTGCATGTGCAAATCTCGCTGCACAGCCTTCCTCACATGCTGTGTCAACAAGACAATATCAAAAGCGTGCCTGGCTTTTAACCTAAGCTTTATGGCAGACAAGAAACTCACTCTGAGCTCTGCCAGGTAGAGCGACACAGGGTTGTAGTCGATCACAGGCAGGGCCCCTCCAGACGGGGCGATGCGGCCAGCCATGAGGCCCCTGCTGAAAGTGACAGGGTGAGGGTCCACTGCCTGAGCAAGGAGGGGAACCTGCTTTGGGTTCAGGTGAATCAACACGTCGTAGGCATCCAGAGGAGGGCGCATGACCACCTACACATACAGAGACATTGGGTCACATGGCTGAGGAAAATTAAACCAGAATGTGTTCAGGGTGGACCATTGAAGTCCAGTAGAGCTTTTAACCGACCCGGACATCTTGAATCTGCTCTCTGTCCATCAGCTGATGTTCCAGTAACTTAAGACTCTCTGCCGCCACCACCACCACACGCTGCAGCATCTGAAGACGGAGACAAAACATTTGGCGGGTAAACCCGGTAGCTTTGGGTATTTCACATAATTTCAAACATACATAAAATCGATAGGCCTCCATTGTTGTTGTCAGTTATCGCAGGCATTTCCGACCAATTTCCCAGGGAAAATAAATGACCAACAATTGCAGACATGAACAGACTACATACATACACCAATATATGTGTTTGTGTGTGAGCAATATCCAGCAGTTGTTGCATAACAAAGCCGCCCGCTTTATTTGTCTCAACTTGTCTCGTGCAACAGTTCAGTTACATTTGCAGCTGGAAGAAAAACATTTACAGCTGGAAGTTGTACGAGTTCCTGCACTGGTAAATTAATGTGTACAGGACCAAA